ACACCCAAACAGACCAGATTATACAGTTCCCCTTGGATGACAAAATGAAGCATCGGAACTTCCCTGCGGTGAATTCCAAGAGAAATACATGGCATATGACACCCTTCTCACTGCCATCCATCCCCCCCGCCCATCTTGGAGACAGCTCTGTCAGATGGACTAGCTGGGCAGTGAGAGACTGAGGGTCTTCCCAAAGCTGCCAGCTCACAGGAGGAACCCTGGGCACTGGACAATCTCTAGGCACAGCGCTCTTACCAGCACCCCCGCCTGTCCCCTGCCCTTGGTCAGTCGTCTCCTGGAGGGTCTGAAGCTCTGAATGGAGCTGTGTCCTAAGAAGTCTGCAGCCCCTAAGCTAAGAGGGGACAGAGCCAGGTGGGGCACCTAACTAAGCCTCCTCAGCTTTCTGACTTGAATGAGGGACCAAACACACAACACAGGCATGCTGAAAGCCACAGCTAAAGCCAGGCTTCCCGGCAGGCAGAGAGCCAGGCCGGCGCACGTGCGCCCTGTCTGCATGTCCAGTGCTGGCTCAACATCCACATGGGACTGATCCCTCAGGTGCCTCAGACACACAGGTCCAGCATTTACCTCCTCCTGAGTTTCACCCAAGCTGCTTTCCTCTTCCTCCTCTGTTCCACTGCTGCCTCCCAGCCAGTCACAAAGCCCTGCCGGTGCTGAGTGCACCAGGTTGCCCTCTGCGGAAGCAGGAGCCCTCGCAAGCCCAAGCCTTCCAAAGAGCGGGAGGGGCTATTAGGTTAAAAGGCACCACTGGAACAGAGAGTAAGACCTTCTCTACTCTCCTCTGATCTCCCCATCTGTGTGCTTTTACCTGAAGTTCGTTTCAAGAGTTTCATGATGATCAACCTCCAGCTTTGATCCTAATTAAGCAAATTAAAGCATCTCTTCCCAAAGAGGAGACTGTTACTTTACTTTGACTAGTCAACCAAGCTGAATAAGTGTCCCTAGTCCTTATAAGAATGACACTATAATCCTAATTTGGTTCAGATTACATATATTGGCATAGGAAAAAAAGATTGAGAAGTCTTACACAAAAGGTCAAGAATAATTACCTCCACATGAAATGTTTATAAAAGATTTTTACTTTCTTTATAACCTATTTTCCATCTTTTCCATTTATTACATTGGCAATTTAAAAGTTGTTTAAAATCAATAAAAAGACAAATGTATTTGAAAAAATAAATTAAAATTAAATTTAAAAAAATCATCTTAAAAAAAATAAGTACCATCTGGAAACCTGTTTATCAACATAGGTTGATTACAAAGGTAAACAGCGCCCCCTTCTCTCCAATGAACAACTGCAGCACTAGTCATCTATCCAGACGATACCAGAAATGCATTTTCCAGGGACTGGCAGGCGCTCCTTGCAGAGCTGCCGCCACGGCCATGCAATGGCAACTGCTCTGCAAGAGGCGGCTCATTCCCACCTGTGCTTCCACAGCCCAGCAAGGGCAGCAAGGGCAGGGTCAGCCCTTGGTTTGAGAGAACTTTCCAGCCAACCTTTAGCTCCTGCTCCGTTTGTGTTAATTCGGGGGTGGGAGAGTGAGGGGGATGGGGTGTGGCCATATCACCTCAGGGAAGGAGAAAAATAAATCACATACAGGCCTGGGTCAGCATCTCCGAAAGCAGGTCTCCAAAACAGCTTGTCCCAAGAGATTCCAGCAGGGGGCAACCGGGCACTGTGAGCATCAAAAACCATCTGGTGTCACAGATGAAACACGCCTAATTTCCACGTCATTTGGAAGCAAAAGGCGAATCATCCTTTGCTGCTGCGCGTTTACAGAGCAACTCAATAGAAAACAAATCTTCGAACAAGTTAGTGATTTGTCTCCAGGAAATACACAGTTAAACAGAAGAGAAACCCAGCATTTCTTCCAAAATCTTTTCTCAATTTACAATCTCAAAGCCACTATTTACCTATTGTACTTTTTTTAGTATATTTTGGTTATGCTCTTACCGTTGTCCCATTTTTTTCCTCCCTTCTCCCCTCTCTGCCCTGTGCCGCCCTTTTCTGCAGCATCCCGCCCCCGCCCCCCGCCCCCCGCCCCCGCCCCCGCCCCCCGCCCCCCGCCCCCGCCCCAGTTCATGTCCACGGGTAGTGCATGTAAGTTCTTTGGCTTCTCCATTTCCTATATTATTCTTTACCTCCCCCTGCCCATTTTGTACCTACCAGTTACACTTCTTATTCCCTGTACTTCTTCCCCCTTCACCCCTCCCCCTCCCTCGCTGATAACCCTCCATATGATCGCCATTTCTGTTATTCTGTTCCTGTCCTAGTTATTGTTTTTTGCTTGTTTGTTTGTTTTAGGTTCAGTTGTTGATAGTTTTGAGTTTGTTGTCATGTTACTGTTCATAGTTTTTGATCTTCTTTTTCTTGGAAAAGTCCCTTTAACATTTCACATGGTAAGGGCTTGGTGATGATGGACTCCTTTAACTTGACCTTATCTGGGAAGCACTTTATCTGCCCTTCCATTCTAAATGACAGCTTTGCAGGATAGAGTCATCTTGGGTGTAGGTCCTTGTCTTTCATGACTTTGAATACTTCTTTCCAGCCCCTTCTTGCCTGTAAGATTTCTTTTGAGAAATCAGCTGATAGTCTTATGGGAACTCCTTTGTAGGTAACTGTCTCCCTTTCTCTTGCCACTTTTAAGATTCTCTCATCTTTAATCTTGGGTAATGTAATTATGATGTGCCTTGGTATGTTCCTCTTTGGGTCCAACTTCTTTGGGACTCTCTGTGTTTCCTGGACTTGCATGTCTAGCTCCTTCACCAAATTGGGGACATTTTCCTTCATTATTTGTTCAGATAAGTTTTCAATTCCTTGCTTTTCTCTTCTCCTTCTGGCACCCCTATGATTTGGATGTTGGAACATTTAAAGTTGTCCCAGCAGTTCCTAACCCTCTAATTTTTTTTATTTTTTTAGTCCTTTCTTCATTCTGTTCCAGTTGGACATTTATTTCTTCCTTTTGTTCCAAATGCTTGAGTCCCAGTTTCCTTCCCTTCACTGTTGGTTCCCTGTATATTTTTGTATACAGGGAACCAACTTTGTATAGTCTTCACTTCTTCCTTTATTTTGCAGCTGTACTGTCATTTCTTTAAGCATCCTGATTACCAGTGTTTTGAACTCTGCATCTGATAGGTTGTCTATCTCATCACTTAGTTCTTTTTCTGGAGTTTTGATCTGTTCATTTGGGCCGTTATTTCTTTGTCTTAGTGCTGCTATTATGTTGGAAGGGGTGGAGCCTTAGGTATTCACCAGGGCAGGGGAACCCGTCACTGAGTTGTGATGCTGTCTGTGGGGGAGGGGTCTGAGAGGGAACAATGCCACTTGCTCGGCTCTCTGCTGGCTCTCAGTCACTTCCCCTGCTACCCACAAATTGCTCCCTTCTGGTGCAGATCCCCAGGTCGGTGGGCTTGTGCATGCTCTAGGACCACGTAGGTCTTTCAAACAGACTCTCCTGAGAGACCAGCAGTTTCTGCTGTGGCTGCAACCCCCCCAGATTTTTACAGCCAGAGGTTTTGAAGCGTTTTCCCATGCAGGAACCCTGGATTGCGCGGTCTGTCTTGTTCCCCAGAAGTTCTCCCGGTTTGTCCACACGCAAATATGGGATATCCTGGTCTTCAAGCCGCTGCCGTGCAGCATGTCTCCACCCTGGCTGCCGGTCTCCACTCCTCCCGGTCTGGATGTATGTTTCTCAAACTCCTTGGTTGTTGGATTTCCATACAGTTTGATTTTCTGGCAGTTCTGGTTATGTTTTTAAATTGGTTCTTGTCCTTCTTTTGATAGTACAAGGAAGCAAAGTGTATTTATTTAAACCTCCATGTTGGCCAGAAGCCCATTTACCTACTTTATATATTTATTTACATTTGCCTTTATTCTAAAAAGGATTTAAGGAAACTTCACCAAGTCACGGGGTCTCCTAACTGCACAGGACAAAGGAAACGCAGTCTACACTCATTTGTCCCAGGTAATAGGCCCTATTTACCAATAAGCATTTGTCTTAATATTCTCCTAAATGAAGTAAGGGGAATTTCATCCCAGGCTGAAAACACATGAACTTGGAATGAAAGCCCAATAGCCTTGAAGTGATGCCAAAGGCAAAAAATGACTAGTGAAGCCCTGGCTGGGTGGCTCAGTTGGCTGGAGCGTTGTCCCATACACCAGAAGTTTGCAAGTTCGATCCCAGGCTAGGGCACATACCTAGGTTGCAGGTTCAATCCCCAGCTGGGGCGCATATGGGAAGCAACCAATTGATCTTTCTGTCTCACATCAATGTTTCTTTCTCTGTCCCTCTAAAATCAATAAAAACATGGAGTTCTGGTTTTTTTTTTTTTGAAGTCTAAAAAATGATTAGTGAGAGATTTTACAAAAAGGAGCAGGAAGTAGGAGGCCAATGCTCTGGTTGAGACCTGGGTCTTCAGTAACAGTTTGTCATGAGTTAGCCTCTAGACACCTGACAAGCTACTTTCCCTCTCTGGAAATCAGTTTCCTCTTCTATAAATAGGGATATGATTGAACAACATATGGGATTCCTTCCATCTCAGATATGGGAACCTAAGAGGACTTCAGGGCCTTGCAGGGGGTGGGGAAAACTGCAATGGGTTTTGTGCTTTGAGCCTGGTTGGGACACAGGAGTTTAGCCGGGGAAGGCATTGCAGTAATGAAGTGACTTTCATCTAAAAACCACATCTTGACCTGCACAGTCTATTTCTGGCCTCAGTCTCTGTGAACTGGGGAGAGAAGACAGAGGGGTGATTTCCACAGCTTTTAGCCTACACTCTTTCTTTAAGCAAAATTGGGAGGGTCCAAAGGGCATCTGCTCAGCCCTCCCCGGAGCCACCCCAGCTGCCCAGGAGAGCCTGCGTTGGAAGAGCCCTGGACTGGCTGGTGTATCCCTGGAGGAAGGATACAGGCCGCTTCAGAAAGGAACAGCACACACTTTGTAGAAAGTGTCAGGCAAACACAAAATATTTTGGTTTTAATCTTTACTTCCAATCCCCAACAATCTCTTTCCTTTCCATTACAAAAGTACTAAACAAACATGGACAAAAGAGGAAAATTGACACTTGTAAACTCCATGCCTTCAACAGGCGTCTCAGTAATTCCATCACCAACACCCATGTGCAAGGCACAGACATCAGGCAGACAACTCTCAGGAATCAGAACTACACCATAAATGCATGATCTTTTTATTTCGTATAAAAATAATCAAACACGAAAAAAGCCAGACCATGCATCGATTTTATCCACTGACACTCCCAGGAGCCTTCTCCTCTGGCCAGACTGGAGGCCTGGCCCTGCAAGGCAGCACAGCATCTCAGCAGTTCATGGACAGGACAGGCTGGACGTGGTGGGTGGGACCAAGAGCGTCAAACTCCCCTGGCCTTTCCGAGGCTCGGAGGGGTGGCTGCTGAGCATGGGTCTGCCCCAGCAGCCAGGTGTCATGGCTGGGTGCCTTCCCATGCAAGCAGGGCTGGCTCCTCCCCCAGGCTCACTGCAAGGTCTCTGTGCTTGTCTATCTAGGGAGCTGTGACTGAGTCCAGCAGCTGTCCAAAGCGTCTCAGTCTCTGACTTTATCATTTGCCCCCTCCAGCCCTCGAAGGAGAAGGAGCCGTCAGTCCACTGTGCCATTGTAGGATTTGTTAAATTTGTTGAAGGTGAGATCCACCGTGTGTGTGGAGATGGGCTTTCTGTACAGAGGGTTTGAAGCCTACAGACACGGAAGGCAGAAGGACATGTGTTAGTGGACTCATTCCAGTGCACACACTCAGGGCGAGGGGCCCTTCCTCGGTCAGTCACCCAGGAAGGCACCAGGCAGAGCGCCCAGGTGGAGGGGACGGATGGGACGCCCCTAGCTCTCGTGCCCTGGGAAAGTCCTACCTGCCCTCTGAGCAGTCTCCATCTCTGAAATGAGGCCTGGGAGGTGGGTGGTCTCTAAAGTTCCGTCTACCTTTAAAAGAAACGAACTGGGGCCTTGGGTGAGTAACTCCCTTACTCTGTGGTTAGGTAGCCCTTTGGGAATGTGCAGTTTGCTTGCGAAGACGGGACTTACATCTATAGATACTGTAATAGATCATAAGAACCTGAGGTCCTTTCCTGGATCTGCTGTCTCCCTGAGACCACCCAGATTCTGTCTGCTGAGGCTGTGCTGAGCACCTCTGCCCCATGAGTCTCCTGACGGGCGTCTGCTGCGGGGCTCTGTGCCGGGCCCTCTGTGCTCCTGGGCCACACACTTCCTGCCGTCTAGAACCGGGCACACACCTCCTTTCAGGTTTTGCTCATTGTGTTTTGAATCCCAAAGATATTAGTGGACCTTTACCACTTGCCTGAACCCAACCAGACCTCTAAAGTTGGCATTTTTTTCGACTTCCAACTTCCTAATGGCTTACCATTTCATAGCGGGCCCTGGATCGTTCACTCTGGAACTTCGCAAACTCTCTCCGGTCGTGGATGGTGACAAGCAGCTTCCAGATGGCCAGGAGCGCCATCCCAATCAGAAGGATACTGCCAACCACGGCCAGGAGGATGGTCATGGCATTGGGGGCTGTTCCACACTCTGGAGGGGACCAGGAGGCACGATGAGCAAAGGCATTAGCATCAGGGTACCCCTCCTATCCCCAACCTCAGGCGTATCTAAAATGAAAGGCACTTGTCTCACCCACAGGTCCTCCCACTATTCTCTCTCAGACCCTCCCGCTGCTCCCAGGAGACAAAGGTGGGCAGGCAGATTTCTTCAGTGCATATGAAATGAAAGGGTCAAAGAGGGACTGTGACCGTTCCAGGGCTACACAGCAAGTCCACGGCAGGGTCTAGAGGAGAACCCTGGTGGCTGTTTCACTTCCTCCCATGTGCCACATACATGGCTGCATCTCCTCAACCCGAAGCCCCGCCCCCGGCCCCTGCGCCCCTTCAGCCAGGCCCATCCCCAGTGCAGGACGCCGGACCATGCCTCAGCTTCTGCGTAAATGGTTTCAGGGGCAGACTGGGCAGGCAGGAGATTTCAAGAAGCCTCTTCCACAGGGGCTGGGCTGGGGGCCAGCCAACATTTGTAAGCCCTTAGTGTGGTGCCCTTTGGAGCAAATGTGCTTATTTTCAAAGAACCGCAAAGACAGTGCCTGGAAACAAAGCCTCATTCTTACAGGCCCGCGTCCTGGGCTGGTACCACATGTCCCCCTGCCTCTGCCCAGGGAAGGCCCATTATGTGGTCTGGCCCAATCTGGAAAAACAGTTTGCAGTGCTGTGAATTAGAGAGATCACATCTTTTTCTGCTCCCCCTGCCCCTCTCCAGAGGAGAGTAAAAGAGGTCACACTAGGAACCTCAATGACTCCAGGGCCAAAGGCCCCTGGCTCCTCCCCGGGCATGAGGCAGGTGGCAGAACTGCCTGTGTCTGGATTAGAGCTGGGCCTCTGCAGTAGAGCCCAGCCGCTCGCAGGAATGCTTACCCCAGGCAGCCCAGGCAGGGCTGGGGGTCTACCCAGACGCTCTCTGTTGCCAGCGTTGCCTGCTCAGCCCTCGGCCTCCAGACCCACCCTGCACATTCCCCGCAGCGCCCAGAAGCTCCCCAGCACCATTAACCTTTAGCTTTGCAGGTTAACTATGTTTTGAGCTTACTGTCACCCTATGGTTTCTCTCTCCCCAGTTGAGACACTCCACCGGGGCAGGGCCCTGTCCTCCTCTGACACCCATGTCCTCTAGAGCTGCGCCCCAGCAGTGGGTCCCCAAATATGCAACCATCTTCCTTCTGAACTCTAGGAGTCGGGGAGGGGTGGCCTTACAGTCTGCTCTTTATGAGGTACTGTAACCTGCCTTCTCTGGAGGTGGGGAAGGGCGGCGGGGAGAGAACGGGCAGCAAGCCCCACGCGGGGAACGGCGTCAGGAGCGGAGCCTCACCCACCTGGCTCCCTGAGGACCGTCAGGTTGGACTTCCCCCCGGGCAGCTCTGTGTAGGTGAACAGCATGACACAGTCCTTGGCAGTTTTGTAGAAACAGAGGACAGCTTCCTGGTCGTCTTTCACTGGAAGGGAACCAAGCAGGAATGTGCTGGGTAGATTTCCGAGCAGCCCAGACCGCGGACAGGGCAAGGAGCCGAATGCCTCACAGAACAAAGAGGGTGCAGAGGGGCTTAAGGGGGCAGCTGGGCCTTTAAAAGTGAGCTCCAGTTTCTCATGTCAAGAATGCAGGCCCAGGCGCTGACTTTCGTTTGCTTTGGGGATGTGAATTCCCTTGGATGGGAGGGACTGCTGTGGAAAGCAAGAGGATCTTCAAACCTCCAAAGTGTTTGCTGCGGTGAAGTGACATGAAAACAAGCATTAATGGGAGGCAGGAGTGGTACATGGAATTGGCTGTGGACATTAAAGGGATAAAGAAAGAAGAGCCAGCCTGGAGCCCCTGGAGGCCTGAGTGAGGGTTCACACTCGAGACCACTAGGCTGCACGCTGGCTGTGGAGGCCAAGCACCGGAAGCTCTTTCCTGGGATGTAAAACCAAAAAGACCCACAAGGGGATGAGGACATTTGGATAAAAGATTGGTGCCCACAGAGGCACCTGCACCCCAAGACAAAGGGAGCCGCGTGGGAGGCCAGGGCGGACACTGACTGGCCTCGCTCCTCCTCACCTCCCCCATGTCCCGACTGCTCCCCAGGCTGCAGGGTCACAAGCCCCATCCAGGCCTGACCTGCACCCCAGGGCTTCCCGGGGAAAGGCTGAGACTGGTTTCTAGGAGGGGGAGGGGCTTTAGGAGACCATGAGTGAAGAGGGAGAAGAGGGGCGAGGAAAGGGCAGTCGAGCCAGGATGACAATGTAGGTTCCTGATACAGCGGGAAATGCTCCCAGCTCCGGCCTTTGCGGCCCTGTGGTACAAAGGAGTTCCAACCTGAACCGAATAAATTGGTGTGGTTTTTAAACACGAAGGCCTGGACTTTTTTCCTCAGCGATGCCCCCCCGCCAGCCACCCACCATCATAAGCCTGGCCTGGGTGCATCCTGAGAGAGAGAGAGAGAGAGAGAGAGACAGAGAGACAGAGAGAGAGAGAGAGAGAGAGAGAGAGAGAGAGAATGAAAAAAGCAAGGAAGAAGTGTTAAGTGGTGAGTTCAAACAGAAACCTTCTCTGAGAAGCAACAGGGACAGACTGAGAGGCAGCCGTGCATGACTGGTATAGCTGCTCCCAGCAAATCAGTCAGGGGACCGCGGGCAGGCAGTCCTGCCTTTTCTGACTGTGTGTGTCTGAGTGAGGGGCAACTGCCCCAGACCTGCAGGCAGAAGTTCTGCCTTAAGTAACAAGGCAGAAACAGGAGCAGGAGGATGGGTGTGAGAGGTGGCACTCAGCAAGCTCCCACTGGCCCCTGGGTCTACACAGGCCTGGCATACAGTCAGTGCTCAATGAGTATGTTGGCTGTGTACATGACTCAACATATCAGGAGCCATGATTTAACCAGAGAGGTCAGTCAAGACCAGGGAGGCAGGAACAGGAAGTCTACAAAGAAGGCCCGTCAGGGCCCAGACAGACAGGTGGCTGGGCTGTGAGGTCAGGGGCCAGGCTGCCAGCAGGGAGCCACAATGCAGAATCCCTCTCAGGGTACATTGTCTCTTTCCCTCACCATTTTAGCCATTTTAAAAGTGTGCAACTCAGTTTTAGTATATTCACAATGTTGTGTAACCATTCCGACTACCTAATTCCAGAACGTTTCCATGACTCCAGCAAGGAAGGCCATACAGTATGTTGGCGGCCAGTCTCGCGTCCGCTGTCTGCATTCCCCGGCCACTCCCCGCAGCCTCCGCGCTTCTGTCTACTTTGGGAAGGTCATAGCAACGGAATCATAGAGCATCTGTTCTTTTCCGCCTGGCTTCTTTCACTCGGCATAATGTTTTCAAGGTCCATCCATGCTGCAGCATGTGTCAGTACTTCATTCATTTTTATGACTGAATCATATTCATTGTATGGTCGTACCACATTTTATTTTTCCATTCCTCAGTTCACGCACATTTCGGTTGTTTCCCGTTTTTGACTATTATAAATAATGCTGCTTCAACATTTAAGTACAAGTTTTTGTGTTAACCTATGTTATTAATTCTCTTCTGTGTACACCAGGAAGTAGAATTGCTGGATTGTATGGTGACTGTTTGATTTTGTGGAATTGCCAAATTGTTTTCCAAAGTGGCTACACCATCTTATATCCTTACCAGCAGAGTCTGAGGTTTCCAACACAGAGTCCCTCCTGACTCAATGTGAACAGTGTTCCAGAACAGTTCCAAACCCAATGACATGCTCACAAACTCCTCAGCCTGGGCACCAATGGCAGTACTAAAGAAGACATGGATGTAGTCCCAAGATGGTGAAAAGCAAACATTTTTGTCCCTCTGTCTGAACCTCCTTGTGGGCTCAGTCAGCAATGGACTTACAGCCATCTGTGTCCAGAGGTAAAGGCAGGGGAATAGAGGGATGGCGTCAAACTGGAGTGGCTAGAGTGAGAAGAGCCTCAAGATGTAAGCTGCCGGGCAAGACAACAGAGGACGGACTGGGCAAGGTTTGTGGGAATGGGAGAAGAATCAGGGCATCACTTGCTACCAGATGAGAGCTCTGCCCTTTCTGATGCCTGCAGCACCATGAAAGCTACGAGGGGCAGAGGCAAAATGGTGCAGACACTGGCTAGTGTTCCCTAGCCATGGTTTCCCTGTTTCCTAGGTGCATGGCTGGACTACGTTTCCCAGCCACCCTTGCGGTTAAGTGGAGATGAAGTTACGTGTGCCACTTCCAGGCCTGGTCCATATAAACCTCCCACATGATCCTTCACTCTTTCCCCACTTGCTGACCAAGTGGAGAGGATTCTGAGGACCCTGAGGAGGGAAGAACCTTGACAGAGAGGGTGCCTGGATTCCTGAATGACCACATTGAAGGCCTTTTCAACCAGAAGCATCTTCACTGGACTCTCAGTTAGTGACAACCTCACTTACATTTTGTTAAAGTCATTGAGGTTTGGGGTTTGGTCATTAAAGCAGCTAGCATTACTTATTTTAACTAACATGCGAACTTCTCAGAGAGTGTGGGAGAAGACTGGGTTCCAGTGATGGGACAGAAACTTATGAACAAGGAAGCCATACATCCTGGAGAGGCTGGAACCTACACCGCAGCACGGGCTCCCCAAGTCCTCCTGGGGAGCAGCAGCCATGCTGAGAACGCCGAGGCTATGCTTCCTAACTCAAGGCTAAAACTGCACTCCTCCCACCAAGCAGCCCCGAAGAGCATCCCGCAGAAAGTCTCTCTAAGCGTCTGTAAGATCCAAAAGGGGACAGCCGCCCGGGGCTGTCCCAGCCCACTCACCGATGGTGTCCGCCCATGTGATCACCTCATCCTTGCACAGGGTTTGGCAGGTCTGGTTGTCAACCGGGCTCCTCGAATGAAGCAACAAGCACTCGACACAATCTCTTTGGAAAAGAGGCAATAAATGTGAGTGTTAGATGCTGTGTAGTAGCTCTGCACATATAATAAGATCCCAGCCCTCCTGCAGACCCCGAAAGTTTTAACTTCTGCCTGTCTTCAGACGTTTTGGCTTCAGAGGATGTTTCTGCTCTGTCCTTCCTGTGGCTGTATGCAGGGAAGCCCTGGGTTCCTGGAGGTACATATATGAGTTTAGAGCCGTGTCTGGTGTACACGTCAAGTTGCAGGTTGGAGACCTTTCAAATTCTGATGCTGGGAGCCAAATCCTCCCGCACTTTCGCGCATCAAATGCCTGACTTAGGCATCTGCTCCAAGCAATTATTTTCCAAGTGATAAAAAACTGTGATCCCAGCCTTGGAGAGGGGTTCTCACACCCCATGGCCAGTGCTTGCTGAGCCCACATCGCCAGAATTCCCAGGGTTCCTTCCACTCCCGGTCAACACCAGGGCAGGGCTCTCAACCCTCCTGCATATTAGATTCTCCAGGGGGGCTCTGAAGACAAAATACCACTGCCTGGGCTGACCACCCCATAGAATCACTTCTCTGGGGCAGAGCCTGGGCTCCCAGGAGTCAGATAAAAACAGTGGGGGCTGAGAACCACTGCCCTGGAAACTCGAGCCCTCGCCCCCCTTCTCCCGCCCTAGTGGGGCTGACCCAGCGGGCGCCCTCAGGGCTCTGCTGTCCACCCCCCTATTAGCTGAGCCACACTAAACTCTGGTAGAGGCCACGGGGTGGAAGCCCCCTTCCAGGGAACCCACATTTCAACAGACACTCGGAGCCTCTTTCCTCCCACCTCAGAAACTGATGGTTTAAAGCAGATGTTGTATGACTTGCTTAATTAAAAAGCTCAATTAATAATTAGTATTTACATTTTCCATAGTCAAAGCCCAGCTCCAGAAATTCTCCATCCACCTTCAGTTACCTCAGGGAGAACACGACGCCTAGGCCAGGCCAGGGCAGCTCAGCTTTGCCTGAGGGTCTGCAAAGCCTGCTGAGGAGGGAGACGGGCCCTGACCTTCTGAGGGACCGTGGGGTGGGCGGGGGAGCAGACGGGATGGTGAGAACTCAACTTCAGGGAAGAGTGGGCTGAGGGAAAACAACCAGCAGACTATAAATTTTCAGGGACTTTGTGAAGCCCCTCAAACAGAGGCTTTCTTGGGAAACTGGGTTAGAACTCAAGAACCTAGGATGCTGAGAAGGCCCCAGCCTCCCTGCAGCTGCGTCTTGGCCCCAGACTGCAGGGGGTGACCTCACAGAGCCTGAGTCACATGGAGGACAGCTGCCCCACAGACCTGTGGGGACCAAAGGGGCTGTGTGTCTGGAAATCTCTCTGGCGCAACATAGAGAGTATACAACCACAGTGCATCACCTTTATTATCATCATCCATTTTTTAATTCCTCGAGATTAAGATGTCGGGGCAGAAATGTGGGCTGGAACGTTAGAGCTGGAAGGGAGCTCGGAGAGCACTGCGTCAAGCCCTCTTAGCTTACCCGTGAGGGAAAGGAGGCCAGAGAAATCAAGGGCACAGCTGGGTCTAGCGCCCAGGTGCCCGTCTCTCAGACAACCCGCTCCCCAAATCCTGACTCCACTTTCTGACCAGTAAGAATGAACAGGCAAGTGAGTAGGTCATGAAGAGAAAGTGGGTAAGATTTTCTTAAGAGGGTCTTCGTGTGCTTAAGAGCTCAACTATCCCAGAACTGGCCACAAAATCCCTCTCCTGGGACTGACTTCATGGAAACATTCTGGAGTTACAAGCAAGCTGGTGATGTTTGCATTTCCCCTGAGACTAGAACTCCAAAGGGCATGCAAGCAAGACCTGGCTGCGGTCCAGAGAGGGAGGAAGGGGTGGCTCCAGCTGGGGCCATTCACGCTGACCCAGCTCCCCCTCCCCTGCTCCACCGCCACCCACCCCCCCAACACATCACAGAGAAGGGAGGCTGCTTCCGGTCTCAGCTGGGACCCACTGTGCCCTCCACCTGCATCCCCTGCTGCCATTAAACCACAGAGGCCCTTCTAGGAAACATTCCGATTATCCACATAGACATATCAGTCTAACTTGTATGATTCATGTACTGGGCTGAAACTTGGGATAGATTGTCGTCACGTATTAAAATGAGCCTGGTCGTTTAAACAAACAAGTTGCTGAGAGAGACTTTGCACAGCATCTGTTAATTGAAATCAGCTGAGGCTGAGTGTGAACTCACCCAAGGTGAAGGGTATGTGTAGTTAGTTCTAGACAGTAGAGATCAGCTGCTCTGAAACCCCAGGGGGGAAAAAAAGGACAAAAGGCATTCATAAGGTGGCTCTCAGCAAAGCAGCAAGTAGAAAAACAGACTGATAAGTCACTATCAAAGGGACTTTGTATAAAAAAAGAAGTTGCAACTAGAATGAGAGAGAGAGAGGGTCAGAGTGGTCCAGAGTGAGTGAGAAGGAACCGTGAGGTACCCTTATGGCATCTCTTTGCTCTCCTTGCTCCTTTGGTATTGTTTAACAGAAAATAAATGATCAAGCCTACATCTCCTGGGAAGTGAATGCCTTAACATTTAAAGCTAGGGTTGTCTTCCCATGGGACCTTTTAACTGACCTTCGCCAATCCAGACAAAGGGATGAAATAAGTTTGATCTACTTTTATTGATTCCATGTGTGTTGTCCTAGCTTGTGGGCCCCAGCCCCCCACCCCCAACAACTAACTCTCTGAGCCGCAAGAACTGGGAACATATACTCAAGGGGTTCTGTTGGTAGGAGTTGGGGGGAGGGCACCCCCCTCCAACATAAAACAGGCAGAATGTCTGTGATTCCATGCTCAGAGGACCTTGGCTTTTCGGGTTCCCGATCCAGGATCCTAAGCTCCACCCCTGGGTCGTTTCTCTTTGAATTTCTGTTGTTTCTCCACTCTTAGCAGGTCTGAAGTGGATCTGTTTTTCCTCTCCCTTACTCCCCTCAACGGCTCCCCTCCAATTACACAAAATTAAATCTGGCCTGTCTATCTTGTCTCTTGATCTGCAGCCAACGTTCAATTACCCACGCCTGGGCTGTTTGTGGCAAGTGTCCAGCCACGGGTCTGGCCACCCAGAATTTTTCTGAGCACGGATTGACCAGCAGCCACGGCAGGCTCAGGGAGCATGAACTCATTTCATTATTGGCCTGAGCCAGACGTTTGGAGGGGAAATCTGCCAAAAGAAAATTGCACACTTGTGTTGCCCAACTGAAAAGAAAGGCCGTCTATCTTATTATTTGTTTCTGGTTATCTGCCCCTCTGCTCCCCACCCCCCGGCTGGCCCCTGAGCACAGAGGGCGCCGCCGTGGCTCTTTCTCTAGTGAAGTGCAAGAGAAGCTGTCTCGCTTTCCTGACGGTGTAACGGTTCCTTGTACTCCCTTGCAACGGCGCTTGGGCAGTGTGAAGAGCAGAGCTGTGCGGAGGTCGGCCCGGGGAGCGTGACCCCGTGGCCGAGTCAGGGGAGGCCAGTGCCCGGGTCCACACAATCTGTGTATTCAGCAGCCGCACTGAGGCGGCGCTCCACTGTCTGCATAAATGGAGCAGAAAATTCAACAGCCACGGCAGTTTGTTTGCGGCGCGTCTCATCTAGGGTGGGTGCCCTCCTGCCCCGTGCACCTTCTGATTCTGTGTTGTTTAAAGTGGCATTTCTCCTACTGTGTCCTGTGAGATGTGGTCTGGGAGATGTCAATTTGAGGGTGGGAGGGGGAATCAAATGCATATGATGGAAAGAGGCACCCTAGATCCCCTTCTGAAATATTCATCAGTGCACTGAAGGCTCTGAGAAGATGTTATTTTTGTATCAAAACCAGTTTAATTTCATGTAACTCAGTAATCTTGTAATTTCTAAATTTGTTGAGTGATCCAACAGCAGTCTTGGTTTTTTTTTCTCTTGTTATTTTCTTACAAAATCCCCATGGAATCAGAATCTCAAAGATGCTGTTTTAGTTAATGTTAGTAAGACTTCCGCTCCCCAGCAGTGCTGGGAGGGTGCAGGTGGGGAGCGAGAGGCAGGCCGGCCCAAGGGCTGACTGGGCAGAGGACAGGACTGGGCTGGGGTGAGAAGCTGGTGGGAGGGGCTCGTGGGTGGGGACAGGTACCTCTTGGTGCTGCACGCATCTGGGCAGGTTGGGCACTTCTCACATGTCTCCCCAAAGGCTCCTGGCTCTGTGCACTGGCACTGCCCGCAGACACAGTGCCCGCGGTCACTGCAGACCTGGCCATCCTTGCCCCGGCATGCGCTGATGTCTGTCGAGCAGTTACAGTTGTCCCCGATATAACCTGCGTGGCACTTGCATTCTCCGCAATGACATTCACCGTGTCCTAAAAGGACCACATAGCATGTTAGCACCTGCATGGATGTGCACGTAAACATCTACCCAGTGCCTGCCATGTGCCAGGCACCGGGGACCTGAAAGAATGAGACACTGCACCCTCAGGGTCCTTTCAGCAGATAGAAAGGACCTAGTGTGGACGGAGTGACAGCAGGGACCCAGGTAGCTGGTGTGGCCTGGCTGGGTCTGGGGCTGTGCTCCAAGGTGGCCCAAGTCCTAATCTCCAGAACCTGTGAACATTACCTCATGCAGCAAAAGAGACTTGCAGAAGCAACTGAGTGAAGGGTTCTGAGATGGGGAGATTCTCCTGGATTATCCGGTGGGCTCTAAATGCCACCAGGAGGGTCCGTGTAAGGGGAAGGCAAAGGGACATGGGACAACAGAACCAAGATACTGTGCTGCTGCCTTTGAAGACAGAGAAGGAGGCCCGTGGCCAAGTAATGCAAGGAATGCAAGGAATGCAGCTTGGGAACACGCCCCGCCCCCCGGGCCTGCCCCCAGAGCTGCGGGGGGGGGGGGGGGGGAGCACTGCCACCTTGACTTCAGCCCAGTGAGAATGATTTCAGGCTCTGCCCTCCAGAACTGTAAGAATAAATCTGTGTTAAGTCACTAAATTTGTGGGAATTTGCTACAACCACAGCAGGAAACTAACAGAGCTGTCAGCCCTGGGTCTTGGTGAGATGCTGAACTCTTACTCTGGCCACAGGCGGGGTGACTGAGGAGCAGGTACAGGAGCAGCAGTGGCCAACACTGAACAGTGCTCACTACAGATGCGTCAGGCTTCACAACATAAACTTACAGCCATTGGGCGGTAGGAATCACCACCACCTTCACTTCCCAAGTGAACAAGACAGATGAAAGATGAAAACAAGACAGAGAAAGATGGAGCGGCTTGGTGCAGATCATACTGCCAGTAGCCCTCAACTAGGAGGCAAAGTAGGGAGTCTGGTTCCAGGACCGTGTCTGAACTCCAGGACCCACGGCCTCTCAGGAGAAAAGAGGACAGAGCAGGCCTGACCCAAGACGAGAACCAGCTGAGTGTTGCCCTGCTTCCCTTTGCAAGGAGGGCTCCTGTGTGGAGCCCGCAGGGGAGGGGTAGGGCACCCCCCCCTCAAGGTTCAGCGGTTGTCGTGGGCAGGGAAGGGCTCAGCTCAGGGGGTCGAGCGTGAATGTGTGCATGTAAGAGGAAGCATGTACTCCAGGCACGTGTGTGTGCACATGCCAGGCATGTGTATAAGTGTGTGTGGGCGTGTGCACCAGGCACGTGTGTGAGGGTGGGGGGTGTGCACACGGTGGTGGGCAGTGCAAAGCCTGGAGACATCGTCTGCCAAGGGGACCCGGAGCCTGGCAATTAGTGGATTCTCAATTCTCTCTACTAACAGAGGCTGAAAGCAGTCCTATAAATGGCACTTAACTGAACTGGTATTCACTGAACACCCACTTGCACATGGGCAGGAGACTGGACAGGCATGGATGGGCGGGAGCCTCGCATTTCACTCCCACCCCTGAGTCCGTCATCCTGGGAGTTGGATCCCAGCACCTTCTGTGAGACCACCCATGAGTGTGACCCACAATTCGGGTTAGGATCTAACTTCAGAGAGCCTCTCCCCACCACTTACTTCCTGCCCCCTCCCACCTTCTGTCCACGCCATGGCACTGAGCGAGCGGCCATCTGGAGCAGCCAGGCCGCCCAAGCCTCCCAGGGCTCAGAGCCACAGCAGCCACTGTGCAGGGCAAGGGCCCCTCCCACCTCCCAGGCAGGCCAGCAGGAACACAGGGCTGTCCTCTGGGGGAGGCGAGGAGGCTGCGGCCAGTGTGGGGTGTGCCCCATGAGCCCCAGGAGAGAGCGGCGTCCGCTCCCGCTCAGGGCCGTAAACGGGGGAGGGTGGACTGCAGCCCCTCCTCTCCACCAGCCTGTGAGCCTAACCGGTTTCAAGCCTGGACAGGCAGGAAACCACGCCCCGCAGGAAGTCTTCCCAAATGAAATGGCTCCAATCACAAAATTCCCTCACTCTCCAGCCTCAGGGACCTCACTGGTCAAGAGCCTGTTTTAAATTAACATGGTTCACTGTTGGGAGTAATTCCCTACCCCCTCAGACACACACCCTGACATTTTATTATGAAAATCTCAAAACCAGGGGCCAAGTTGAAAGAATTGTACAGGGAACATTCATCTACTCACCATCCACATTCCTCTGTTAGTCTGTTACCTGCTCATTTACCCCATATCTATCCAGCCCTTGATCCATCCATTAATCTGTATTTTTAAAAATGTATTTCAAAATGAGCTGCAGATACCAGTGCACTTCAGGGGTAGGTTTTTATAGCTCTGGCTTGTACATCACATCATCCCATAAAAAATAAAATAAAAAAAGTAAAAGGTTCCATCAAGTTTGTGCATAGTAAGTCATTAGATTTTCTACTAATAGTTTATTTCTCTCCTTAAAAAAAAAAGCAAAAAGCAAAAGGCATGGCCAGCGCCAGGCTTACGAGCAGCTCGAATGGTGCTCAGGCCAGAGGTACTGCTCTGCTTGAAATAGTGAATGTTGTTTTTCTTCCTACTTGAATTGTTTTTGGCAGCAATATAAAATCATCCAACTATAACCTGACACAATATTCCAAAGTGTCAAAGATTTGGAGAGGAAGTAGTATATTATTTTGTGGAAGAGCTGGGTGTTGGGTGAGGCGTGTGTGTGCTGAAGGGAGAACCTGCTCCCCAATGGGGGCTGCACCTCTAAGTGAAAATGAGGGCAAACCAGGCAGGGGTGCCTGCTGCTCTGTGCTCTCTTCTGGGACGGCTGATCAGTAAGTCAACCTGGCTGCTTTGGGTACGTCTGACGCCATGCAGGTCTGAGCGCTCCAAAACCCAGCCCAAAGCCACTGCAGGCGAGTGTGCCCCAGATCTGGAGTTCAAGTAGAGTCAGGAGTCAAGGGTGGGGCACAGTGAGGGCTGAGGGTTCTCCAAAAGTCCTGGGAAAAGAAGAGACTCCCTGCCAGAGACATAAACTGTTTCCTGAAAGCCTCCACAACGCCAGAGCACAGCGAAGACATGAGAGCAGTGTGCAATGAACGTGCAAGGCAGACAGAGCGAGCGCACAGCCCCAGCCCCCCTCAGTGGGTGGGCGAGCAAGTGGGGGTCACTGAGGAACATCAGAAAATCCTTATCTGCATGGCCTTGGACCTCAAATATTTGATAATTCCAAAGCAAAGTTGCAGCGAGACAAAACTAGGAAGTGACTCCAGGCTCCTCCTGAATGTCTATCCTCAGTGACACCCTTGATAGTTCTGGTTTACTCTGTCAGGACGTCGTCACCTTTCAAAGACAGCTCAAAGCAGCTAGAGCAAAGATGAGGCATGTGCAGCCATGGCCTCCTTCACACCCATGGCAGGTCGTGCCGTCCAATCATGGGATTCTCTTCCAGGGACCATACCCTACAAGTAGGTTCTACGAACTAATGAGAGCAGCACATCTTGGTTTAAAGCTTCCAAGTCTCCTTCAGAAAGCATGAGCCACACAGAGTGCCATAGACTATGCAGATCTGGTCACATTTTATCCTAACCCAAATGTCTCAGGTCTTGCAGCTGTGTCTCAACCTGCCTTTCCCTCTACCTACGTGGAGATTTCTCACACCTTCTGGTCAGCCCTTGGTCTCTCCAAACACCCTAGGAACATGTGCTATTAAAATGGCAAGGGTCGTTCGGCTCTGTCCCAAGGATCAATAACCTGTCAATAGCTGGTAGAACTGAAGGGAAGACTAGGAACATGGTCCCGGCTAACAATACACAAAGGGCTCGAGCAATGGCTCTTCATCAAAACAAAGCTCGTGCAGAATGCTGTCCCAGCCCCTCAGCAAAGTGAGTTGAATTGAATGATGCCTATTTAATATTGCACAGATCTAAAAATATTTTCATTACACAGATAGGGGTATTGAAGGGCATGTGAAAGCACTTTGTAAGCTGTGAATTGCTACATGTGCAAGTTATTATTAGCACTACCTTTGTTAGAATGATTGATAGCTAAATGGACAGGAAGTTGTAAATGTGTCTATTTATACAGAATTTCAGCTCTACAGAATTCAACAGCTTTCCTTCAGCACAACAGTGCTTGTGTGGGCTGGGAGCCAAGATGCAGCAGCCCCTTGCCTTCTTTCATAAAACAGAAAGCCAGCTATTTAGGGGAAGAGGTACCCTTGAAGTAGGCTGGGGGAAGGGGCTGCCGGAAAGGAGCGAGAGGGGCCAGTGGCCTGGACGCCAAAAGGGACACGAGGGGCAGCCCCAACACCGTGCTCTGCAGAGGCCAAGGAGGGCCATTCCTACAGTGGCGACTGGGTTTTGTCACAGTCTGTGGGGACTTGAGGGTAGAATCCAGCTGGTGGGGGATGAGGAAGTGGCGACAGGTGACACAGGCTACTCCACAAGTGATCTGGTTGTGCAGCGGCAGGAAGTGATAGGAGGAAGGACAGGATCTTGAAGACGGGAGATATTTGAGCCTATTTCTGATTACAGAGAAGAGTCAGAAGAGAGGAAGTCTGGGGGGAATACAAGAATCGAGCGAATGGCAAACTCTACAGAGGTCTCAGCAGAGAGAGAAGGGGAGAGGACGAGCTAAAGGGTGCTGGTGGCTGCGGCCGGGGGGGTGCTCGTTGTCAGCCCCAGCAGTGGCGTTCAAGGTCATGGCAATCAGCAGCATGAAAGTCTACGGTATTGTGCTAGAACCAAGTTAAAATCTGCCCCCCACCATTTGTTGTTTCACCTTTGGCAAGTCACTAAATCACTGTGATGATGTGTCCTCATCTGTCAATGAGGATAATGCCTTCCTCGTGGGAATGCTGTTAGAAATATGGGCACTACTGTGAGTACAGGTCCTCACCCGGTGTCTGGCACATGAGGGCGCCCAGGACATGTTAGCTGGGATTGCTGGGCCTGCCCCCGGAGCTGAGCAACCAGGAATGCGGAGATCAGGGTGCCAGACGGCTCGCCACAGGGAAA